TAGGAAAAAATTTTTTACCGTGAGAGTTGTAAAACACTGGAACAGGTTGCCCAGAAAGGTGGTGGATGCTTCATCCCTGGAGACATTCAAGGCCAGGTTGGATGAGGCCCTGAGCAACCTGATCTAGTTGGAGATATCCCTGTTCCTTGCAGGGGGGTTGGACTAGATGACCTTTGAAGGTCCCTTCCAGCCCTAACGATTCTATGATTCTATGATTTATAGTTATATAAAATTCTAAGGTGGTGATCACAGTTGCAAACTTAGTTTCCTTAATCCACCTAATAATGATGATGAACTAAGGTTGTATTCCTCATTTTTATGGTCTTGATAGTGACAAGAATTGCATTTTACTCTTGGCTAGAGTTGTATGTTGCAGCTAGTCAAAGTTTCGCCACTGTCTAGCAAGGATTTTACAGTTACTGCTAGTTGGCATCTTAGTCTTGTTTGCATATCTCAATCATGTTTCTGGAGCATATAAATGTCTTCAGTTTCTTCAGTTATCTAATTCAAGGACATGATTGTTTTATCCCGATTATTTTTCAGGTAATATCCAGTTTAACATTAGCAGTCCGAAATCTTTAGCTTGGATGCAAAAGCCTGTTTTCTCACCTAAGACTCCAGCACCACTGTAAGTATTGCCTTAATACTGTTGTTGATATTTTTTCTCAATTTCATGTGTGACTTTGTTTTCCCGTTTTATTTTGGTTTTGGTGTCCTTTGAGAGCAGAGAAAGTAAAAGAAAGAGTGAAGGAAGATAGAGCTATCTTTGAATCTTGATAATAAGACTTGGCAGATTTTAACTTTGTGGCTCTTATAGGCTAGATCTGAGCGATGCTTCTGATTCCTAAGTTTGAAATCAAGAGTCTTAAAAATCTAAAAAAGCCCATGAAAGAAAGTCAGGAGCCTTGGGTGATCTGGGAGAAACGACCTGAAGCGTTGTATTGAGAAATTGTATAATGCCCTGCACAAAGTGAGATGTCTCTTCTGTCCTAGGTGGGTTTGGCCATACTCAGAGGAACTGACTGAGATGCAAACAGTATTAACGCTTACAAGTTGTCGTGGGTTTTTGCACTTTTCCGTTTTTGAAGACTGAAATAGTGTTTGGCTTTGAAGATGATGTCTCTAACAACTTTCCAGAGGTTATTCAGAAGTAGCAAGCTCACTCAGCTGGGTTTGTTGGTCATTGTTGTGGTTTAGCCCAGCCGGCAACTAAGCACCACTCAGCCGCTCACTCACTCCTTCCCTTGGTGGGATAAGGAGGAGAAAATGTAACAAAAGCCTCAAGGAGCAAGACAAGGACAGGGAGGGTTCTCTTTCTGATTATGTTCATGGGCAAACCAGACTCGACTTGGGGAAAAATCATTTTAATTTTTTACCCATCAAATCAGAGAAGGAAAATGAGAAATAAAGCCAGATCTTAAAATATTTTCCCTCCCGGTCCCTCCCTTCTTTCTGTCTATACTTCCTCCCCCAGCTGTGCAGTGGGATGAGGAATAGGGGTTGCAGTCAGTTTGTCACACATTGTTTCTGCCATTTCTTCCTCCTCAAGGGCAGGACTCCTCACACTCTTCCCCTGCTCCAGCATAGGGTCCTTTCCCATGGGAGACAGTTCTCTACGAACTTCTCTAATGTGAGTCCTTCCTACGGGCTGCAGTTCTTCATGAACTGCTGCAGCGTGGGTCCCTCCTGCGGGGTGCAGTGCTTCACCAATGGACTGCTCCAGTGCGGGCTTTCCAACGGAGTCACAGCCTTCTTTTGGGCACAGCCACCTGCTCTAGCGTGGGGTCCTCCATGGCTGCAGGTCTTCATGGGCTGCCACTGTTAATCTCCATGGGCTGCAGGGGGACAACCTGCTGTCTCACCAGGGGCTGCAGGGGAATCTAAGCTCCAACACACCTCCTCTCGTTCCATCTTAACTGCAGAGTTATTTCCCTCACATCTTGCTCCTCTCCACTGCAACCATGCTGGGCCTGACTGGCCCAGTGAACTCTGTCGTCCCCAACGGGATGAGTTCCGCCCAGTGGGTGCCCCAGGATCAGGGAGCTTTGGAGTGCTCTAAGCCATGGCTGCTGCCCCCTCCCCACCCCCCTGCCAGATGAAGGGCGTGAGGGCCCAGTGCAGACGGCCACCCATGTCTTCCCCCTCTCTCTGCTGTGGGTCTCGCATGGCACAGCTTTTTTTCCTATCTTTTTCCTATTTTTTTCCTATTTTGTTCACAGAGGCACTGATGGACTTGTCCTTGGCCAGAGGTAGATCCGACTTACAGCTGTGGAAGCTTCTAGCAGCTTCTCATAAGGGCGACCCTTGTAGCCCCTCCCCTTCCACCAAAACCCTGCCACACAAACCCAACACAGTAATCAGTGTAGATTCTGGAGTGTTAACACATGAAGAGTTAGAGATTTGTGACTTAGTTGCATCCTGGAGGTGTACTTACTGCAATAGCAGAGGTGATGATGTTACCTCTGTGCTTCATGCTGAATAAGTTAATGCTACCAAACAGAATTAGGAGTGCTTTACTTGTAGCTACATATGCTCTTAACTGGAGTCACAGACTTGTGTTTCTCAAAAATTAGTAACTGCTCACAGTGTCAGGGAAGAGCAAATGACATGCAAAATAAAAACAAGTGGCCCGCATTATTGTGAGAGATCTTTACTGAACCCAAATTCATTTTCTCCTTTTGTTGTATTTGAAGGTATAATTGAAGTCCAGTTGTCTTGTATGAAAACTCTGACCTATATTATATTCTGTAGGTGTTTCTTGCGCTCAGCTCTTAAGCATTGCTTATTGTATCATGCTATTCAAACACACTGGGTTTTTTCCATCATTTTTGGATGACAAGGTAAATATAGCAACCTATCATTAAATTAAAAAATTAAATGACAGTAAAATTGTCAGAATAATGTGAGGATTTTGTTATTCATTAGGCAGTCAATAGAATTGTTAGTTGCTGCTCTGTCTTTTTGTACCTTAACTGTGTTCTGGGAAATAATTTATGCAACTTGACACTGACAACATCGATGTCCACAGGATATGCTAATGGATTTGCTCTTCTGCCTAGCAATTTAAATTCAACAGTTCTGTTCATGATGTATTCTAAATCACTTCTTGGTAAGTTAAATAGGTTTTGATAGAAAGATTAAAGTTTGATTTTATTTTTTTTAGCATTTTGTTTTTTGGCTGAAGAAAAAGAAATCAAGAAAAGATGGACTGGAATGCAAGACCACTCCAGAATGTTGATGCAAATAAGAACCTGCAAAGTGAAGCATGTTACACTCAGTTGTTTTCTAATGCACATGCTTTTCCTCAGACAAATGCCTATTCCTCTAATAACGCATGCACTTATGTTGGAAATAACCAGATGGCGTATGTGCCAACTAACAATGTTGCCTTCCCTCCTGTAAATGGTGCAGGATTCAAAACTGCAGATCAGGCCTTACCAGGAGCATCCATAGCTGGTAGTGATTTTTTTGTCTCGAAATCGGTTGATCGACGTTCATCGTCCTTTGTGCCATTAGCTCCAAAACCTCCCAATCAGGCATCACGTTTGCGGCCAGAGATGACTCAGCCTTCTTGGCCAAACTCTAATGCCTGCACTTACCCCTTTAGAAAGTTACCTCCCCCATCTTCTCAAATGAACACAGGAAGTAACTTGAGGAATGTACTTCTGGAACCTCAGTATGTCTCCACAAACGGTTACACTGTGCAGCCACAAATACTGCAGCATAATTCTGTGAGAACTTCAGTGTTGTATCAAAGTAACGTCCATTCTCAGAATAATTCTGTGTCTCTTGGTAGATCTGGGCAACATGTCCAAAACCAAATATATCATCCCAACATTCAGTTTGAAGTTTCACACTCGCTGAATCAAAATACTGCAGCAAATGTACAGCAGGTACAATATCGACCAAGTCAGATGGGATCAGAAGCTCCTAGCGGATGTTCTGCACTCTCTTTGTTGCCTGCTAACTGTGATTCCAGAGCTGTAGCACAGTCTTCAATAGGTGTACCACAGGAAATTCAAAACGTGCCTAATGGATACACCTTTAGCCAACATAAGCTCCCAACAGATCCAAAAAATGCTTCTGGTTTTAACAGTGTTCAACAACACTGTCAGAAACAGCAATCTGGAGAAGTCAGTCAATCTGTTAGGAATGTCTGTAATTCAAGTGGAACAGCAAATCAGTCTTTTAGTGAAATGTCTGTGCCATCCCCTGGCATTTCCAAAGAACTGTGTAACATTCTGCAAGAACTGGAAACTCTGCTATCTGCTTCAAAGCCACAGAGTGATCCTGCTTCAGTTCAAGAAAGTCACACTAGTAGTTTAATGAATGAGCCTGTTAATTCTCAAATTTCTTCAGCAGCAGCAAATGGAAGAACAATTACAAAGGACAAACTAGCTTGGGAAGCTCAAAGGCTGCTCACTATTAAAAAAAAGTATGTCCTGCTTGAAAAGATGTATCGTTATAGAAGAAAACTCTTAGCAGCTTCAGACTGTAACAAAAGTACTCCGCCACTTCCTTCAAGTTATCAAGACACTCTTACTGATTGTCTTCCACAGATGCCCATTCAAAATGTACCACCTTCCCCATCTGAAACAGCAAAGACAGAGAGTCTGATGATTAACTCTTCACCTGAAGAAAGACAAACCAAAAACGTAGCCAGTACTGATAACAGAGGATTAGAGGTGACTCAAAGTACCCCTCAGGTGGAGCAGAGAAGCCTTTCATCAGGCTCTGCTCCTATTCCCTCTGAGAGCAAACTCCCAGCTCAATTAAATAATTATGAGAGCACTCCCATCTCAGAACAAAGGGATGCATATGCCTTGGCCTCTTCTCAAAAAACTGTGACATCCTTGAGCAATGTTTCATGTTTTAGTCTAGTGGATAGCTCTATCAAAACTGCATCAAAGAAAGTGCCAGCTAACCCCAAGACCTCATCATTTCTTCAGTTTGTATTGAGCAGCACAAATGTATTGAAAGAGAAGACAGCTGGTGCTACTGCTGATAAAATACTGACTGATCTCCTGTGTAGTGAAAAACCACTGGTAGATACATCTGCCTCAGGTGGAAACTTAGTAAAAGACACTAATGAGAAGAACGTAAAAAGTTTAAAAGGTGAGCAGACATTTATGGTTCACACAAACTCTCCTGTATCAGAAACAAATGAATCTGGTGAAGCTAAATTCCAGAGTGATGTAGCTCAGAAAAAAACACCATTTACTGAAAATACATCTTTTAAACAGACCAATCATAAATACTCTGCATGTCTGGGCTTGCGGGGAAAGCATCAGTCAGAATCTGTGAGTGTGCAAAATAGCCAGCCAAATGGAAGCCCCACAACAAATCAGATTTCACCTTACAACCAAACCACAAAAATTGGAGAACAAAATAATGTTCTAGTTAGTACAGATGAAGCAATTTTGCCTGTAACAACTGTTTGTGTAGGACAAAAACTTGATACATTGAATTGCAATTTGATAAAAAGTTTTGAACTCCAAGTTGCAGTTGTCTCTCCTTTAGTACTTTCTGAACAGAGAACACTGAGTGAGCAGGCAAGCCAATGTCCAACATCTGGAGGTAAAACCAATCCCGTGATTGACTCAGGAAGCACATGTAGCTTGCAAGAAGAGGGGAAAAATGGTTCAAGTGTGGTAAATACTGATAAAGGAATGATAGAAACTGTTCAATTGTCACCCAGTGACTGTGTTCTGGTACAGAAAGTGGACTCACATTTACAACAGACCAAATTAGCAAATTCTGGAAACAGAATAGTAAAAAACAGTGTGAGTGCAAATGATTCATATGATGGAAACCAAAAGAAAGATAGTCAATCTGCACAAGATACCAGAGAAAATTTGCAGGCTGGATTACAAAACAAGCCTTCTCTTCCTGAATTGGGCATAAATTCTTCTAGTCGAGTCTTTCAAGAAGGCGTAAGTGACCATAAAGACAAGCAAGCTGTGTTAAAGACAGGAGATACATCCGCATCTGTGTTGGAAGAACAGATGTTTTGTATTTCTAGTGTATGTTCTCTTGTTGAAGGTGATACGTTTTATAATCCACAGATAGCAAATATCTTCAGGTCAGTCCCTGAGACAGATACGTTAAATGGTACCTCATCAAAAGGAAATGCATCTGACCCAAAGCAAAAGGAGCAATGGCTCAACTTGTATAAAAATGAGCTGAGCAATAACACTCCCCAAAGAAAGAGCTTGCTGCGAAAGATGTTTGAAGAATCACCAAGCTGCATGAGTAAAGTAGGTAAGATTTTGGATGGTATCACAACTAGTCACTTGGAGAAAGAAAGCAGTGATGAGCCTCTTGAAACAATTTCTACCTCAGAACAAAAAATGTCATTCAACGCATCTTTCAAGCATCCTGAAAATGACTTGGAAATTCTTGCTGGTGTAAACCAGGAGTTAGCTCAAAATTCACTAGATTTCTCAGTCAGTGGAACTTCTGAAACCAATGCATTCACTCTTCCAAGAGATAACAATGAACAAAATTACATGCCCAGTAAAAGTAGCACAGAAAAAGAGATGAACCTTTTTGGAGCAGAAATTAAATGTCTGAGCAATCAGCTGTCTGAACTAGTGAAAGAGTTTCCGTTTGGCATTGAAGGTGCTGATATGCTGACAAAAGAAGTGGTACAAAATGATTCTGTGGCTGAGTGGGTGGAGAATCAACCTCAAAAAGAGGCTCAGATTGGTGACAAGAATTCTCATTTGAAGGACCCAGTAGATCAGATAAAAATTTCAGTGTTAAGCTCTGATCAGATGCGAGAACTGTTTCCTGACTCCAACTGGCATTTCTTTAGTGACAGCAAGAAAGTAGAGAGTCAACAATCAGGAAAGGCTTCATCGGAGAACGAGACCCTTGAGGGCAGTATTCAGCCTAGTCAGAGTCTGTGCGAGAAGGAAAAAACACCACAAAAAACCTCTAACCTCAGGAAAAAAAAAGATTGTTCTTCAACGGGGCAGCTATCTGTAGCGTGTAAAATGCCACAGTGCCCCTTTAAAACTGGAGTGTCTGGTTCAGAAAAAAATGATCATCAACTTTCAAAAGCTGAAAATACCAGCTCTGCAGAGAGACAGGAAAACAACGGTAAATCTGATGCCGTATTGAAGAACAGTTGTGCAGTGGGAAACTTGCCCATTTCTGAAAAAATCCCAAACAGTGTTAGCGAAAGTCAAAAAGATATTTGCAAATACACCCCTGTAGTGAACAAACAGGAAAAAAACGGACCACTTAATTCCTCTGAAAACCACGATGTTTGTAAATCTAAAAGGAGTGACCGGAAGGAAGAGCTGCAAATCGACAGAGGAACCCCATTGTTATGCAAAGAATTTCATTCTGACAAAAAAGAACATCAGACAGTCTCAGAAGAGTTGTCAGAGAAGGCTGACCATGCAGATGCAGACAACAGGACAAGGACAACGTTACCCAAAAAGAAAGAGAAGGTTTTCAAAACGAAATCCCTTTCAAAAGGTAAAACCAAAAGAGGTTTGGCCATGAAATCCAAAACAGATGTTCACAAATTTACAAAGTCAGAAACTGTTGAAGTCAAGCATGCTGAAGTCAATCAAGGACAAAAAATTAAAACCTGTGAAGAGAACTCAGCTGAAGAACAGAACTGTAGGAAACAAAAAGAGATACTTGGGCAAGAGATAGAAATTAACATCAAAGAAAAAGCTAAATTATCAGTTGAAATAAAACATAAAAAGCTAAATAGTTATCGTGCTGATGCAGTAAAGCTCCCAGATTTCAGCACTGTAGACTTAAAAAACCACAAATATTCTCAGCATAAATCTACGAAAGTTCATCCTTCACAGGAGCAGTTGTACAAACGGAAGAGGAAGGAAAATATGATTGGGAGGAGAGACCCTAAGAAAGCAAAAGTGGAAGAGGAAGGACTGAAACAATCTGAAGCAAAGAAGTCCAAGCAGCTTTCACGTAATTGCATGATAAATACTGACAAAGCTAAAAAACTGAATGGCGAAAATGGCTGGAAACCGAAGAGTTCATTAGCAGATCGCTCTGTCCTTAAACTCCAGAGAAAAAGGGCTCGATCTTCTACCATCTCCAAAAACTACTTTTCTAACAAGGAGAGACGTCTGGATGGTCAAAGCAAAGACAAGTGCTCTGAGAAAATGTTTCCTGATAAAAACCTGCTGTACTTAAATAGAAGAAATAACAGATTAAAATTGCACCTTCAAAAGGAACCAAAAAAGCAGTACCTGAACAGAGTTGCATTTAAACGTACGACACAGGAACGCATATATCTGACAAAATTAGAGACATCGCCTGTCAGACCTGTCCACCATATAAAGCCCAAAGCATCACAAAACGGCCCAGATGCAAAAAGAGACGCTTCTCTCTCAGAAGTTGAGAAATCAAGCAAACTGGAAGTACTTGAATTTAAGCTGTGTCCAGAGATACTGTTCAAAGATCCAACCACTGATGAAGAAAGCTTAGCTGCAAAGAATGCCATGGAAAGAGAGAAAGCCGTTGTGACAGGTATGATGCTATCTTGGTTGTTAATTTGTGAGTAATTAAACTTTAATTAAAATTTAAACTTTAATTAAAGTTTAGTTTAATTTGTGAGTAGTTAAACTTGCAAGCAAAAAGTATGGACTCCTTTTTAAATTCCTGTTACACAAAGCTACAGACAGTGAAAATGTGGGACTCTAGAAGGTGAAGGTTGATGGAGCTTAACTAGCTTGCTGACAGACCGTAGCTGCATGTTAAGCTGAAAAAGAACATGAGACTTTTCCTTCAATTTAGTGTTTTATTCTTTTTCCTCAAGTTTTATAGAACAAAGAGTAGTTTAGAGCGTGGCAGTTCCAAGTCACTTTGCAAGAAGGCTTTCTAACCTACCTGTAGAAGATAGCTTGGCTGCTACTATAGAAAGCAGATTCCCTTGGCATAGTTACCAAAAGTGATTTGATTTGTACTCGGTGTTCACCTAGTTGTCTATAAATCTGGCTGGGTAGGCAGGAGGGTGAGAACTTTTGCGGCATTGAGGAAGAGAGAGGGCACCTTTGCCATCTTTGCTTTAATCTGCCTTTTTGCCTCCTCACTATCCCAACTCTTTTAACATTTTATGTGGTGCGTTGTGAAGCATATTTGTGTCAAATGCTATGTTTGATTTTAAATATAACCAACTCTTAAGCTGTACATAGCAGCCTTTGCAGTCATTTTCACAGCCAAAGGAAATTTCCTTTTGTGTGTGCTAGTATACGTGTTAAATCTTGATGCTGAATAGAGACTAAAACTTGTGATACAGGAACGTCAAATACATTTTTTACATTTTCTCTTTAGGTGTCAAGAGTAAAAAAGAAGACTGGTTAAAATGTGATACAGTGAAGCAAAAAAAGCTGGAAGAGACCTCTACAGGTGAAATGACTTCTAATTATCTGTTTTGAAATAGAAGTTGAAGGTTCTTTGCTTGGTTTTAAGTGTTCCTTTACAGTAGCAAACCTTTATAAAGTATTTTAACTTATTCTTTACTAGCTCTGCTGCTGAAATGGATACTGTAGGGCAGACATAGGAGTTTCAAAGACTGAAGATTTTTATTGCCATAAGAATATTGTTGAGGATCATTGGAATTTTCCCGCACATGGGTGTGCAGTTGAACTGGAGGTAGCACTGGTGACAAAATTCAAGTACAGTTTTCAACTGCAGGTAAAGACTAACCTCTTTCCTACTTTAAAATGTAGGAAGTAACGTAACAAAATCTAGTGTGAGACTATAAAAACAGAAAGTGATTTTTCTTTTTTTTTAAATTTCGTTTGGCTTTCACAGTAAGATGACGCACATGCACCCATGCTTACAGGTACTGGGACCTGTGTGTCCCAGTAGTCTGAACAGGATTACTTGTACGACACACAGAGGAAAAGTGGTGCAGCTACTACATCTTCCTTGTTTCTCTTGATTGGCAAATTACTTTTTGATCTTTTGTACCCTTAAGGAGTCAACAGTTACAACAGTGGCATCTTTCATCTCAAGATCTTGGTTATTCCATCCTGTGTAAATCTTGGGTGAGGTTGCTCCCCGCTGTCTTTGTTTCTTTGCTTTAGGTATCTTTCTAGCTATAGTCTTGTTTTCCTCCTGGACTAAGAGAAAGCAAAATGGTGCATTCAGCATTCTATAACCTTGCAGCCATCTTCTTATCAGAGTGCAAGTCCTCTGCTGACAAGTTCTTCGCGTTGTGGTCTTGATGCAAGCATCACATTTTGCAATGTTTACATCTTTTATTGCTGTTGAATGTGTCCTTGGCTATGGGTGTCTGCCATTCTTTTAGCCCTTCCTCTTGTTTCTTCTCTTACTTTCACAAATGCACATTTTCATTCATACCTTTCTTAATATTCTTTAGCAATTTGTCTTACAAAGACACTCAAATGACATTTGGTGCTTTAAAGACACATTGGAGGTTTAAATCAATCTGAGGTGTCTGGTGCTTTAGGAAGGAAGTTTGTGGCATCCTTTTTGACAGTGGGTGGCCTTAAGTACCACATATGTAAGGAGTAGAGTCATTTGAAACTCTTCGACTTTTGCTTTAAACTGCTTCTCTGTCTGTCTTTCAGCCGAGGACAGTATTCCACTTGATACAGCTATACAGATCCTGGATGGAGGTGGCGAGGCTCTTCACATTCCAGTCAAAGACTCAAAAGAGATGTTTCATACATACAGGAAAATGTATCTCGAAAAAAAGATGCGAAAGCCTTGATAGCTCTCTGGTATCATAGGTCTTATTCAGCATCACTGGGAAAAAAAATGCCAACACTAAAATGGTTTTTCCTATTTACTTCATATTGTAAAAAAAAAAAAAAAATTTTTGGGGGGGGAGGGTGTTGAAATTTTTTCCCCTGTTCGCCTCGATATTTGTGAATGATTGAGATGTTCCTTATTCTGTATTTATTGCACAAATATGCTTTGGTGCTGAAAATGTCATTGTCAAATGTATTGTTTCTTTTTGGCATATATGAATTTTTTTTTCAAGATACAGAAGTTAGTTGAAACTTGACCAAAAAAACTCAAACTCGTTTAAATTGTCAGAGTCTGTTTTCTGATTCTGGAAAACTTCTTCTTGTACTTTTATTTGCTGGCAGGGGAAAACATTCCTACTTGAAAGGGATTGCAGTGGATTCCCAAGCATTACACCTTTATTTTCTATTTATACTAGTCTGATTGTTGTGCTTGTAACAAGGCTTCCTATTTTTGTAGAAACTTTTTTTTTTAACTGAGAATACAAATATAAAACACTCAAACATACAGATCAGGGGATACTATGAAGTATTTCTGCTGCTACCCAGTTTTCTTACGTTTCTTTTTTGTGGAACTTGAACTCTGAGTTCTTCATCTGGACACAATGCTGTAAACTGATAGTTGACTGACAACTTTCCTTCTCTTGTGTTTGTGTGTCCCTCTGCTTTCCTTACACTTGGAAGTGCAACTGTTGAAGTGCAGGGAGTTTGAATTCACTTTTCACTGGACTATGTTGCTCACTTTAAACTGGCATTAATTTCCTTGTTTATAAAGTGTTAGCTGACCTTTGATGACACATTCACTGTGACATAAGAGTTGTATTTGTTGCTGGATATCTTTTGTTAAGTGCCTTTTCATTATTGTTCAGAATTTTGCATTGAATCATATTTTTTCAGAAATTTGATACTTGTTTTTTTTCTAACTGTTTAAACCTTTATACTGGAAGTAAAAACTGTAGATATTTCATTGAATGATTTTTATACTTGAAATAAACTTTTGAAGGCTTTGCCTTTTTTTCAGTTTAAAAGTATAAAGTTGTGTTTATTGCAGTTAGTTAAGTAGACATTGAAGTATAAAGTTGTGTTTATTGCAGTTAGTTAAATAGACGTTGAAGATATTCCTGTAGGTGCAAAGTAGCTTTAAAGCAAGTGCCAGATATTCCCTTTTAAAAGGTTTCATAGTTGCAAGGGAGGACTGGACTTGAGTCCAAGCGTTTTCCAGTAAGCTCCTAACGGTATGTACTTCAGGAGACCACATCAGGTATGTTTTTCACTTCGGCATCTTTTTTTTCTTTTTTTTTTTCTTTCCTGCTTTGACAAGGAGTTGGAAATTGATGAATTCGCATGAGTACTTAAAAAGCCTTCAGTACTACTCCATTTCTGAAGATACATGCTTGTAGGCATCTTGGATATAATTACCCAGTGGAGCATAATGTTATAATTTCCTAGCTCTATCTGTAGGCCAAATTGAAAATTGGCTTTTTTGAGAGAAAGAAGTCCTCACTTTCCATCACATGTATGTTTCTTCTCTCAAACTAGGGAAGTATTTGGAAGGTTTTTAACTCTCTTCCTGTCTGGCACAGCTGTCCTAATAATTTCTTTTTTTTTTTTTTTCCTGGCTGGATGCCTGTTAATCTGTGAGGAATGTTGCTGCTGGAGAATTTTGCAATTTTGCAATAATTTTGGCAACTTTGAGAAGGTTTTGGTTTGTGTTTTCTTGGGAGTTTAGCACCTGTATTATGCTGCCTGCATTAAGGAAGATTCATTGTAGCCTTAAGTGTACCCGATACAAACAACAAATAGTTCCTGTCAAGAATTTATTTTGGGTTTTGTTCTCCATAATGATACATGAGACGACTTCAATGCTTGAGTGAATTCTTTTCAATAGGAAATTATTCAACCCATTGACCCATGAGGATTGTATTCTAAATATTTGGAGAAGTTTGCTCAGTGACCCTGTGCACCCAGTAAGTGAGAATGCCAGTTTAGACTCTAAGTGGATACAGCTACATCTTCTTCCTCTCTTAGACTAAGGAGTGAATCTTGACTCTGTGAGCATGTTTACACAGTGACTTATGCCTACACTGCTTTGGTATAGCTAGGGTCTTTGGGATAGACTGGCTGCATCCTTTCTGCTTGGTTTACGTGTTGACTCAGTAGCTATCTCATAAACCTTTGCATTTAAAGTACTTCACACTTACAGCTGGTCTCTAGTCTGTGCTGCGCTTACTGCATAATTGCTGCCTGCACCTGCATACTAAGAGGACTGTGCCAGATGCTCTTGTTCAGTTGCCATTTCTCCTGTTCCTTATGGTGCTGACTGAAGCCATGATACTGGGCCCTTGGCCTTGGACAGGCAAGATGCTGGCATCCACCTAGATGTGGCTACTGTGGAAAAAATAGTGCTCTGTGTCTTGAAGACGACTGACAAATGTGAGCATGAGGGCATTCACTGGTGCTGAAGATACCTATAATGGATGTGATGTGTGCCCATTGTCTTGCATGTTTCCTGTACTTGAAAGGACTTGTAATATGAATGTCACCAGTGGGGTTGCTTTGTGCAAACCGTGGATCCTTTTGTGGCTCTGTGAAAGCACTAATAGATCTTAATGGTCCTGATCATCTATATGTGGGACCTCCACCCACACTCCAGGCTCATGGGCCTAGGAACTCCATTTAAGATCAAGCCTGGGCTTCAGTCTTTCCCTGAGTGATGTCCAAGGTTTACCTGTCTCTGGATCTGTTAGAATCATGCTTGTATGTGGGTATGGAAATTGCTCATTGATGCAGACCCTGACCTAGGGACAGTCTTCCTGCCTGGACTCAGATGTATGTTATTACTATGAAGCTGCCCGTCAATCATGACTGTGTCTGACTCTGGTTACCATTACTGGATCTGACCCTGGCCTGTGGATTGACTTTCTGGTTTCATATTGGCCCTCCTTCATCACTACAAGCTTGTCCGGTGATCTATGCTCTGGCTTGACTCTGGTTACCATCCCTGTCCTGCTTGCCTTGCTTGGGTGCTGAGGCCCCTGCCTTGCCAGTCGTGGTATCTCCCTCGGCTTCTGGCCCCTGGCCATTAGGGAACAGCTAGTTCTTGCTGAGCCCTGACAGATACAGAACTGTAGGATGTCGGTGTGCAACATTCTATCCTATTCGTGTCTGCCTTCTCTCTTCTTCCCATCCCCTTCTAGGAAACTTTGTGTCAGTAGGAAGGGCTACCACTTCTGTCCTTCTTGCCTTTGTGCCTCAAGAGAGTAACGGATGAGGTTCCTGATAAGTGTAGAAAGGTAAATGTAATTTGCCACTCATTTTCAAAGACAAGAAGATGACCCACAGAACTACAGAAGACTGGTCAGCCAGCCTGACCCCTTTCTTTGGGAAGATTATAGAACAATCCTCCTTGAAGCCATGTCTACCCAAGTACCGTAAGGATAAAGTGATTTGGAACAGTCAGTGTGGGTTTACAAAGTGTAAATCACGTCTCCCCAGCCTGAGGGCCTTTTATGATGAGATGATTCTTTGGACAAGGGGACTGTAGAAAATGTTGTTTACTGTTAACAAGGCTCTTGACATGATTTCTGATAGTATTGTAGCCAAATTGGAGAGAGATGGTTTGGATAAGTGACCTACACAGTGGGTGGAAAATTAGCTGACCGGCTGGGCTCAGAGGGATACCGGCTGTGATCAGTGGTACAAAGTCCAGCTGGCATCTGATTACTAGTGCATTCTTCAGCAATTAATACTGGGGCTGTCATGTTCACCGTCTTCATTAATGAATTGGAGAATGGGATGTAATGAACCTTTGCAGATTTGCATGGAGAAATGGAGTCCTCAGGAAACTCAAGAGTAACTTCCTGTGGAAGTTCAGTAAAGGCACACAGGGTGTCTCCCAAAAACACTTGCTTCCTCTCACTCACTTCCAACAGATGAAACTAGAGATACTCACAAGAGGTGTGATGAGGCCATAGCCCCAAAGGATGGCCTGTCCAGCTGATGCCAACCTTTGACTTCAGGCAGCAATGCCTACGTAGGAACTGGGCTCACATCTGCTCCAGGACCTGATAAGGAGCCCCTGCTCTAACCATCTAGTGAAGTGATGTTGGAGAAGGTTGATAGGGTGAAAGTCTTGTGTAACAGCATGATAACAATTTGACATGGTTAACCACAACACTTATTTCCTTTGGCCGGATATGAACATAAATGCCATAAAGTCAGCACGTGTTTACTGAATATAATTGTCATGACACACTGTAAATCATACCCACTGTCTTGCCATGTGTCCAGTCATACAATGACCTGGACCTTGTAAACCGAGAATATAGCCAGTTGTCAAGAAAAACAAAACGTGCAGGAAAACCTGCATTACAAAGTGTTGGGCTTGGGGACTTCGAAAAAGTTTGGTGTTGCCAGTACTTTCCTTCGCAGATGTTGGAAGTAATCTTTTTTCCTACTAATGCCTCATTAGCTACGTGCTGGCCAGCTGTGTGCTCTGCTTTCCAATCAAGAGTGGTTTTCATGGTGGCAGACAGGTGGTTTGTAATCTAGGATACAGCCTTTATTCTAGAAACCTGGTCCTTTAAACTAAGTCTTCCTTAAAACTTAGCTGTAGTGACCCTGTCTCAGTCCTTGTCTCTCTGCCTTCCTAGACCTATATATTTTACTCTTCCTTTTGGAAACCTTGCCTTCATCCTCAATTTTTTTGTTCCTGAAACTTTGTTGAATTTGCAAGGTTGCCACTGCAACCTTGTTTTTTAAAATATTTTTCTCTTCTCATCTTCCTGGGCTCCAACTTGTCTTCCTCTACCTGCAGACCCCCAGCCTGTTTTCATCGCAGCAAAGCTCACAGTCTTGAAACTTTTCCTGGGCTGTAGTTCCTGTGCTACCACCTGAACCATGTATTTAGACTTCTGCATTTAAGCCAAGGAGCTTTTTTTAAAATTATTTTTACATTTTACTT